ACTTTTCTTGATGCACCAAAGAAATCCTTTCCCGATTCTAGTATGTTATGTAGTCTCTCCTTCTCCGACTTGCCACAAATAATCTATGATATCTGTCCTGCAAAAATTCATGGCAATCATAAAATGTAAATGTTCCTATTCTAAAACGAATTCCTCGTCTGGAACGGATGCTGAAATTGTTCCCAAGCAGAAACTCACTGAGAGCATTGTCACAAGCTTCTATGAAGACAGAATTGGATCTTCAGGAGGGATTCATCATTGGAGCAGAAGAAGGCATGCACTCGCACATTTACTTGCAAGAAGGTCTTCTCTTTATTTAAATCTTTTCTATCGAACTTTGAGTACATCACTGGAAATCGCAATTATTGGACATGGTGCAACTTTTTTTTACTTTATGAATTTCTCTGCTATTTGTTAATATTTTTCTGTAATGGCTAATATATTGAGATTTGATTCTTCATTTTCGCTGATGCTAATCATATTTGCGTCTTCAGAGTAGTTTTTAAGAGTTCACGGACTTTCCCGATCTCTCAACTTCCTTGAATTTTGTGACATATTTATTGGTTCATTGAATCAACTTTTAACATTGTGCAGTTTTCATTCTCCATAGTTTAGTATTGGTACTACTACCGGTACCATGAAATCGGTACCATGAAATATTCCACTCGTGCTGGCCTCCGACAGACAGTCAAGAGGAAAAGTTCTCAAATTAAACCGATGGGATATTTTCCTGCCAATACCGTACTCCTACAGGAACTTCTTGCCCGGAACACATGGTTCCGTCGAACAATTTTCGCCTTGGCAACCTATAACTGGAGCACGATTGCCTCACATAGTGAGCGACATTCGGATATCGCGTTCGTGCAACGTCACACGACCGGCATCGCATAAGAATTGAGGATATCATTGAAATGACAAGGAAACAACTGGGAGATGAGTTTATTCACCCGAGAACAAGTCCAGCCGATCCCATTTGTCTAAGTGTTCGAGTTTTGAAATTTTCCCTTCAACCATACTTAACGAAGACACACTAGGTATTAGGAGGGTTAAAGAGGTCAGTCGAGTGGAAAAACGCGAAAAGCCCCCCTCTGACCCTTGACCTATACGACAACACTGCAAACAATTCCTTGTTCTATGAGCTTTAAAGAACAGTGCAAGCCGTTCAATCTCGTGTCAGCAGAGAAATCAGCCGGGATGAAACAGGCAGCAGATGAGACCAGGGCCGAAAGCAGAAGCCAATCGGCAGCAATCACTTGGTCTATGACGTCACCCACAGTCCAGACGAACCCTTCTTCCTCGAGGTGAATGTTGTACCGACTCACCTCACTCCCCCCCGCCTCATCCGCATTCAAGCATCATTGATATTTTCCTATACATTGCGAGTATGTCTGTTCGGTGAAAGAAGAGAACTTGGCAGATCGCTATCGGTCCCCCTACTCCTATATGCTAAGGTTTGTCCTCAGCTCTTTTCCCTACAAGAACCATGTCTACGAAACGGAATTTGTCACGTACCAAGTGAGTTGAGCAGCCTCTTAAACTAAAATTCTGATCGAGGCTGGTTCCTAATGTCCATCGTATTGGCTACTCGTCCTCTACTAAATACACTTAAACACGATCGTTACGGGGTTACAGGGAACGCTGCACGCCCATGTAGCAATGCTCTCCCTTTCCAGATATATAAATTAAGTCTTAGACTTTTTGTTTTCATTTCTTCCCTCTCGGTTATGCCATTTTTTAAACTGGGGATACTAGGGCAACCAGATGAGGACGAATGCCATCTCGTTCCTTTGTTCACAGGTAGGGAAAAAATACTCACAGAGATCCGTCACACTTCACAGCATTCTGGATAATTTACTTCTCGAGAATTAGTTTGAGTCACAATAAAGCCTCTTTGAAGGATGTTTATTCAGCGTTCCTCTGGTGTCGACAGATTCACGATCAACGCCGTAATTATCATGCCGAAACTGAAAGTGCATGAGGGGTTGCAAGCGAGTCGTTGGAAGAACCCTTCGGGACCTCCTCAGGCGACCATCCATGCTTTTCTCTTCTGCGCTTCCAATCTCTGACGACAGTTTCGATGGTTTCACCTCGGACCCAGGCATGGTGTTCTCTGGTGCAATTCTTGCGATCATTTGTGGCCTAAACTCAACATGTGCGATTCCAGAGGACTGCTCCGACTGACATTTTGCAATCACTTCTGAAGCGACTTTAACTGTTTTTCCCGTTTAGCGATGATTTCTCATGCAGATGAGGACATTTTGAAAATGTTTCGCCTCATTTGGCACACAATTGCATTTTGAACTTCTTGAATTTGATATTCCCGACAAGGAAAGAGAGCGACGATGAATTATTCATGGTCACTGTATGTTTAACGCGTGCATACAAAGGTAACTCTAGGAAAATTACCCGGAAAAAGAGAAAAGAGATTGAAAAGTTAGCAGGTCCAGCTATCGGAGCGAGGAAAAGATTCAATCGATACGTTATATCTATATAAGTCGTCCATGGCTCGCGCCTAGGAGAGGAGGGGGGGGACACTCCTCCCCATGGGCGCCATTTGATCTAGTGCCGGCCCTGCCCAGGGGTGTCCACATTTTTGAACGCCACCTAGCCTATGACCATCCCCGGGCCACAAAAAGAAGCTAAGCAAACTTTGGTCGGACTGGAATCAGTGGCATGGCCGTGCATGAAGGACAGACAAACACTGAAAAATATAGCATAGATTATATTTAGTGGTTTGTAGAATCGGCTTTTAATATTGTATACTTTTCAGGCTTAATAGTCTGGTACTGGTATCATTAACGGCAGTAAAACATCCCTAAAGGACAAGTATCCTATGGCATCCTATAGGTGAAATGCCCCAAAACCCCTTGCGTTGAGAAACAAAAAACCTATAGGCATGCTTTCGGTCAAGTGTCTAATAGGATCCTATGGGAAAGGGATGGCCAAACCGCGACTCCGGGACAGTTCGGAGGGCTTTCAGGGAGGACCTGCATAACAGGTTTACCTGTGTCTGTAAACATGAGTGGGAGTTCAATTCGGCGCTGAATACCGGTTTCTACGTCCTCTGGGAATACTCAGAGGATGAAGTCGCAGAGGCAACATCGCTACCAGAATCTTTAATGCTTGATGTCCGTAGAAGCGCACCAGAGTATCCAACTAGCTAACTTGAGAATTGGAACGACATGAAAAGAGAAAGATTCTCTCTCTCTCTCTGGATTGTCAGAGCTTTGCATTTGGAAGGCTCTTGCCTGACTGGATGAAGCCATAGATCTACAAACTTTCGCATTGAATGCCAATCTACATCCTGCAGGTCACCAATCCAAAGAGCTCATGACTCATCCTGATCCTGGTTTTCACGTGAAGGAAGATGAGGAACTTTCTCTTTTAGATTTGTTTTCTTTCGCTCTTGCATGAGAATCTTCTCCATTTCGTATTCCTATCGTGTTTGCAGTATACACTGTACATGTTTTTTCTTATGCATGCAATTACGAGATAGGTTTCAGCACGCCTCGCCATTACGAAATTGCTTCCAGTCCTTAGACGCGTGGTGACGTCAATGAAGAGTCTGGTAGCCTTGTTTAACACGTACCGATTCATTTTAGTTCTTTCCGTGGAACGAATATCGTGAAGATGGAAGTCTGGCTGTTCCGTACGAGGAAGCGGATGGCAGTGTTGGATCTGTTTCTCCTCGTCTTTCGGGGTGTCACCTCGACGGATATCATTGCTCACTATGCAGCGCATTCGGGATGGAGATACCACAACGTCTCATTAGAAAGGACGACGCCGACTTTCGGAACCTGCGGGAAGAAATGCGTGATGCAGACGCCTCCCTGCTATGCATTCAACTATCGGGAATCCGATGGATCGTGCCAGCTCGTCCACAACGGGAAGAGCGACCTCGTGAAAGCCGATGGATATAACTCCTACACACAGTGTGAGTCCACTCATGAGATGTCATCTGAAGGGATTCCAAGACGTCGGCCTTTTAAGTTCTCCATTTATAGGGTTGTGCCTAACGGAGTACCCGACGATCCCGAACGCGAAGGTGTCCTTCGAGGGCTGGAGCGGAGAATATCCAGCCCCGAAGGGGGCGATGGTCACTCTCCTATGCGATGATCCTAAGGGATTCTCCGACGGCTCGCCTCTTCACACGTCTCGATGTTCCTCCGGGGCTCCAGATGCTTGGTGCAGCTCCTTCCAAGAGGATGACGTCTACTGTGATGAAAGTCAATTCATGGCTAGGGATTGTAAGTTCTACAACTCGGTGATGTATAATTATTAGTTGTAGAGATTGGCACACATTCCAAGATGTGCGTATTTGTGTTGTATTGAGTCAAGTAACCAACCATAATTTAAGTGGAAGGATTGACGAGTTAATACAATCTTTTGGTTTTCAGATTTCGTAAGTGTGACCAGAAGCATGACGCCATTTAGAAAATTTGGGTATTCAAAGATTTGTTTACGTGCATTCATCTGAGCTGGCGCTTTTAAAAATTTCGCGCAATAACAATTGCGTTGTTGCACTCACGATTACGCAATTCAGAAATAACCACCAACCACCATACTTGTGGGATTGCCACCGCCACACTTCTATTTGGAATTCACAGTTGAGATGACGTTCACCTACCCGGAATGCCGATTGACGGAGAAAGGAAGAGAATACATCGGGACAGAAAGGCAGACAGAATCGGGAAAGACGTGCCTGAGATGGGACACTCAGCCCTATGGAAAAACAGCCGACTTCCTCGCCACCGTCGAGTATGACGACCACTTCCTGAACCGGGATGCTTGGTCCCAGCAGAACTACTGCCGGAACCCGTCGTGGAAGGAGAGACCCTGGTGCTTCGTCGACGACACACAAGTCCAATGGGAATTCTGCAATATCTCCATGTGCACGGATAGAGGTAATTATGGGAATGTAGCTCTACGTTACAAAGTCTGTTGCATATAGTAAACCCCTTTATAATTAGTAACTGAAACGTTCCTAAATCATAAAATAGAACGCCCCCCTTATGAAAACGCCTAATAGGATTACTGTATATTCCTAAAGGAATATATAGGAATCCTATTAGGCATTTTCGTATGGGTAAGCTAACCACGAACTGCAAAAAAATTGCAAAAAACTAACCACCAATGGACAAAGACAGACAGGCTGAACAGGCGAAAAAGTGATCCCTATAGTTTTAAGAATACCAGAGATAAGTATTACAAGGCTACCAAATAGGACAACTTGAATTAGCATGCGATTTCACGCTTTCTTCATTTACAGGCCACAATCTCCACACAGTCACCAAGCGATGGTAATGCGATCAAAATCAGCCATCGGTCCGCCGGTCACTCGTGGCAATCCAAATTAATATTATTGAAGTGCATTCCGATTGAATAATTTTGTCCCATTGCCTTCATCGCGACCTTTGCAAGGACAAATACACATGAATAGATTCTCATTTACAAACAGATCCTCCCGAATTCAAGATGACTCAAAAGGGCGGCGAATACATCGGGAGAAAGAACGTGACTATTTCAGGCCTTCCGTGCCAGTCCTGGAACACCACCAAGCCCCATCCGGCGAGCGACGAAGTTGCATCCCATCTCCCAGGGTTCCCAGATGCAGAAGACATCGACGAAGATCACAACTTCTGTCGCAACCCGAATGGGGATGCTGCTCCTTGGTGTTACAGCGAGAAGCGGGAGGATCCCGGTACGGAATTCTGCGATATTCCGTTCAAGGAAGTGCAAATCGAAGAAGGAGCCGAAGGGAATGTGTATCCAGAATGCAGACTTTCCGAGAAGGGAAAGGAATATATTGGGACAAAGAGCGAGACCGAGACGAGGAAGTTTTGTCTCGCTTGGTCGGACCAGCGACCCATAAGAATTACTGTCGGAACCCGGGGATATACCGAGAAAGACCATGGTGCTTCGTCTCAGACCCTGGTATCACATGGGAGTACTGCGACATCTCCATATGCCATGATCCGAGTCAGTCACATTTTCCCCTTGGATTTTCGTTTTTTTTTGTTTCGCTTTTGAACGGGAACCTTCTTTTAATTTTTAGAACCACTGGAATG